GAGGGCCCCGTTCAAATTGTCCCGCGTGCAGAGCTGCTCGCGTTCGGCCTAGCGCTTGGGAACTCGCTAGGCGACCTCCGCTACGTGACCGATAACCTGCCTCTGCTAGATTCGCTAGATGGGTGGAGGTCGAGCCGACACCTGCGCCCAGATGGCGCGAACAAGGACCCAGCGCATAGGTAACGCCGCTCGCACCCGCGGCCCTTGCTCTGTCGACGTGATGCGGGTGGCCTCTCACAGTGAGGAAGCCGCTGGCCTAGCTTCTGATCCTATCCGCTACGCGCACGCGCTAGGCAACGCATGTGCTGGCACTTGGGCAGGTGTAGCCGCCCAGCGGTCCTGGGAGGCTGCGCTTGTTAGCGAAGCACCCCCCACAGACCTTCATGACACCCAGTACGCGCTGATCCGTCGGCGAGCGCGCAGAATGCTCGCCGACACGCTAGCTGGTGACCCGTGGGTCGCCGAGCGGCCCTCCCAAGCGAAGGGCCCGCGCCTCACCAAGCTCCAGCTGGCGCTGCAGAGCAGCGCGCACACGTTCGAGCTGCACGTGAGCAAGTACAGATGCTCGCGGTGCGGCCTAACAGCCGACAAGCGGGCCGTCCGCCAGGCCTGCCCTGCCACGTTAGTTCGCCAGTGCCGAGTGCCAGCGAGCAAGTGGTCCCGATACAGGAGACCGCCGTTGCATGCGGACGCGAGCTGCACGCCACGCCTAAGCTTCATTGTATGCAGAAGTATTGTTTGTATTTCTGCCGCGAGTGCGGCAAGACTGCCACAGCAGACCCACACCACCTAGCTGCCCCGTGCAGCGGGCTCACCCGCAAGGGCAAAGAAAACCTTGCGAAGATAGACATGGGCCAATTTACCCACGCCCATGCGGGCCGCGACGGCCTCACTCCATATGTTCGACCGGCTACCCACGACATGGCCGTGGAAGAAGCCGCAGCCGCTGGCAAGCCTCTGCCGCTTGCTCCCCTTAACCTGACTCGAATTGTTTATTTCAGTCGACTGTCGAACATTGGTGCGCAGTGCTGATACTCCTGATCCTCCTCCTCCTCCTTCTCCTCCTCCTTCTCCTCCTCCTCATCCTCCTCCTCCTCCTCATCCTCATCCTCGTCCTCGTCCTCGTCCTCCTCATCCTCCTCCTCAGCAGCAGCAGCGTCTGTATCAGCATCAGCGTCGTCATCATCATCACCAGCATCATCATCGGCATCAGCTCATCATCGGCATCAGCATCAGCATCAGCATCAGCATCAGCATCAGCATCAGCAGCATCATCATCATCATCATCATCATCATCATCATCATCATCCTCATCCTCATCCTCATCCTCATCATCATCATCATCATCATCATCATCATCATCATCATCATCATCATCATCATCACAGCATCTTCATCAGCATCATCAGAATCATCATCCTCATCATCAGCATCATCATCACCACCATAATCATCATCAGCATCATCATCATAGCCAGCATCATAATCAGCATCAGCATCAGCATCAGAATGAACATCAGCATCACCATCATCATCATCATCATCAGCATCATCAGCATCAGCATCATCAGCACCATCACCATCAGCATCAGCATCATCACCATTATCAGCACCATCATCATCATCAGCATCATCATCATCATAATCATGATTAGCAGCAGCATCATTATCAGTATCATCAGCATCAGTATCATTCATCATCACCGCCACCATCATCACCATCATAGTCATCATCAGCATCATCACCGCCATCATCCTCATCATCAGCATCATCATCATCACCGGCATCAGCATCAGCATTGTTGGCATCAGCACCAAAATCGTCATCAGCATCATCATCATCACAATCACCACCACCACAATCATAATCATCCTCATCATCAGAACCCATCATCATCCTCATCATCATCATCATCATCATAATCAGCATCATCACCACCATCATCATCGTCATCCTCATCTCATCGGCAGCATCACCATCATCATCAGCATCAGCATCATCATCATCCTCATCATTAGAATCGTTATCAACATAATCATCACCATAATCATCAGCAGCATTGTATCATCGTCATCATCATCCTCAACAGCATCATCACATCGTTGTCGTCATCATCATCACCATCATCAGCATCAGCATCAGCATCAGCATCAGCATCATCTTCTTCATACACATCTTCGTCAACACCGTTGTCAAGATCAACATCCTCGACAACATGGTCATCAGCATCATTAGGCTCATCACCACGATCATCATCATTATCATCGTTCTCACCATCCGCATCCGTATCGTATCCCTCATCGCAATCATCATTATCATCATCATCATCATCATCATCATCATCATCATCATCATCATCATCATCAGCATCATCAGCATCAGCATCAGCATCAGCATACTCATCATCATCAGCAGCAGCAGCAGCAGCATCATCATTAGTGCTCTACCACCCTTGAACAACCACTGTCCAAAATGCTCCACTGGCACGGTAACGGAATTTGCCGGAGGTCCCTCCCCTCAGCACACAGTGTCCATGTCTACGCGTTTCCCTCGCCCACGCCCCTCCCTATTTGCATACATGTCGATGATGCACAGATGCGTAGACACAGGTGCACACGATCACACAAACGTACAAGTATACATTTACACATTCACAGATATAACATACGCACATGCATATAGAGATACGTGTACGTATAGATAACATATTCCACTGTCACACATGTGACACACAGGTAAACATCATGTACTACTCCCACCCCATCTCCATTGGCAGCATGCACTGGGGTAGCCTCTCAGTCGGCGCGGCCGCCAGCGTCGGCGCCATCAGGGCAAGGCGGATGTGCCCCCAGCCCCGCTTGGCAGGACAGAGCGGCAGGGCAGAAAGGACAAGACTGTTGCCCCTCCTCTTGCAACTCCTCCTGCTCCTCCTCCTCCTCCTCCTCCTCCTCCTCCTCAGCTGCCTCGTCCACACTTCTCGTCCGCAACATCCTCTTCACCCTCCTCCTCAGACTCGTTATCCTTTTCCTGATTCAGGCGCACTCTGACATAGATTGCAGACTCATGGACCCGGCGTGTGGGCCCCAGACCTGCGGATCGGTTCTAAGAGTACCCCCGAAACATGAAGCCAATGCTGCCTGATTCGGCGACAGAGCGCGCCGAGTTTACACTGAAACAGGACCCGTCGCTGACCCAGGAGCCTCGTTCCATGGTCGCGCTTCCTCGACTGACATCCTCTCCCCCTTTCCCATCGGCGACGATGCGAAGGGGGAATGGAATTGACAGGGAGCCGGCCTTCTCAAAAGGCGGCGTGGCGTCCCAATGCCCTCTGGCCTTGACAGACGCCGTCACAATCTCTGGAGAAGGCTTGGCAAGCTTCTGAGAAGGCCGCGGGCCCTGGCCTTCTGAGAAGGGCGCCCCCCTCTGCCTTCCCCACTGGGCGAGCCGGCGACCGAATCCTCTTCATCATCCCCCCCTCGTCCGCATCGTCTTTCTTCAACCAGAGGAAAGAAAACTGTGCACATACACTGATTCTTTTTTTTTCTATTACATCCAAAAGCAAAGGAATAGTCCTACATCGCACTGCGTAATTGACTCTGGAAGTGATGTTATTCATCCTCCCTGGTTCGCAAGCCTGTCGCTCGTCACCCGAGTGGCTCGGATTGACAACGGGAACCAAAGCATGCTCGTGCCTCTGCCTGTTCCTCGAACGCTCGGGGAACAGCTCAGCTCGGCGAGCGCTGCATCAACGAGGGCAGCGCTGCATCATGCGAGACGGAGGCACTCACTCGATCGGAGGCAAATCCTCTTGACAGAATCGGGCCTGGCCAGCCCCTGCACCGCAGCCTCTGGTCCACGGACTACCACTGGACCGCTGCTGAGGGCTTTCCAGTGGCTCTCTCTTGACACACACCAGTCCATGATCGAAGGGGCTGCAGCACCATTCCAGTGGCTCCCCAACATCACCTGCAAGCCTGGCTCGAAGGGACTCTGGAAAAACTGCAAAAAACGGTTAAACCTGCTGTCCCCCCCCCACCCCACCCCCCCACCCCACCCCCCCCTGCACATACACTGATTCTGGCCAGACCCAGCCTGGGCCCAGGATCGGTGCATACGCCCTCTTGCGTTGGCCAGAAGGTATACACACCGATCCTGGAGCCAAGATGGGACTGGCAAAATTTGTGCATGTGCACAATTATCTTCGCCCGATCAGCGTGCCTTATCTCCGCGAGGCAGCCGCGGCGTCGCCTGTCCCGTCAAAAAACACACACGTCAGCGTGACCCCCATGAAAAACCCAGAGTCAGCGTGGCTTCCCCGGGATTCCCCGGGATTCCCCGGGATTGCCGGGAGCTCCCAGAAGCTTCTCAGCCAGCCTCAATAGGCCCCGCAAGACAGCCCACGAGAGTTGACAAATCGCTCCAAGACGCCCAACATTGCCTCAAGACAGCCCAAGAGGCCGCCAAGACGCCCGAAGAGGCCTCCCAGAGGCCTCAGAAGAGGGCCCCGAGAGGCCAGAATCGTTGATTTCCATTGGTTTTTCAATGTTTTTGGGGTTCGCATCCTGTCGGCTTTCCGACGCTCCAAGACGGCCCAAGAGGCCCCCGAGACCACTCCAAGACGGCCCAAGAGTCCCCCAAGACAGCCCCAAGACGGCCCAAGAGGGCCCCAAGCCGGCCCAAGAGCAGCCCAAGACGGCCCAGGAGGCCCCCAAGACGGGCCCAACAGGGGCCCAAGAGGGGGACCACGAACTCCAAAACCGAGACTTCCGCTCCAAGAGGCCCCCAGGAGGCCCCAAGAGGCCCCAAAGAGGCCCCGGGAGGCCCCCAAGAGGCCCCCAAGACGCCCCAAGAGGCCCAAAAAAGGCCCCAAGAGGCCCCAAAACGGTCCCCAAGAGGCCCCAAAACTGCCTCCCAGAGGCCCCCGAGAGGCCAACCACGAGATCCCAATCAACATCCATGAGGTCTCTGACCCACCACCCAGGCACGGTGGCGGGACTGGCCGAAGGCCACTAGTATCCGCCGCCCCCTGCTTGCAGGGGTGCACGGCGTGCTGGACGATTCAGGTTTTGGTTTTGGTTCTTTTTCTAAAAGAACTCCCCAGTGGGCTTCGGCCCGTCCCGCCGGCCACCCGCGCGTTTCCCAAAATCCGTCTGTCAATGCCCAAAAACGGCCGTTTCGCTCGGGACATCCTCAAAAAATCGCGAAGATGGCCCAAGATGGCCTCCAAGTCCGCCCGAGATGGTCCAAGACGGCCTCCAAAACGGCCCAAGAGAGTCCAAGACGGCCCAAGACGGCCCAAGAGGCCCCCCAGAGGCCTCCCAGACGGCCCAAGAGGCCTCCAAGAGGTCCTCCAGGAGAGTCCGAAGAGGCCAAAATCATTGATTTTCCCTTGGTTTTTGAAGGATTTTGGCATTTGCGCCTTTTCGGCTCTCCGACGGCTCAAGACGGCCCAAGAAGCCCCCAAGATCGCCCAAGAGGCCCCCAAGAGAGCCCCATGATGGCCCAAGTGGCCTCCAAGATGGCCCCTAGAGGGCCCCAAGAGGGCCCAAGAGGCCTCCAACACGCCCAAGATGGCCTCCAAGACGCCCAAGATGGCCTCCAAGACGGCCCTGGAGCATTCCAAGCGGGCCCCAAGTCGGCCCATAGAGGCCCCCCAAACGGCTTCCGACGGCTTCAGACGTGCCAGGAACCCACCAAGATGGCCGAAGTTGGCTCGAAGCTGGCCCGAGACGGCCCAAAAAGCCCCAAAGATCGCCCAAAGCTTGCCCAAGAGGCCTCCAAGACGGCCAAGATGACCTTCAAGATGCCCACGTGTTCCCCGAAGGCTTTCCAAACCGATTCGGGGAACACGTGGTCCGATAGCTTGGCAGGTCTGGCCTCAACGTTCGGCCACATAGGCGCTTCCAAAAAGGCAGGGGGCGGCGGTGATTCGCCGTAGGCGTCTTCGATATTCGAATGTGTGTACGAAGAGGAGATCTGCGCCATGGTAAGGGATGGGAGGGAGGGGTAGGACGTCAGATAAGACGCGCGCGCACCTAGCTTGCCCTCTCCCCCTCCCCCTCCCCCTACCCCCTCCCCCATCCCCCTCCTCCTCCTCCTCCTCCACCTCCTCCTCGTCCTCTGCCCCGTCTTCCTGTACCTCCGAACTCTTATGACGCATCCCGTCACCCTCGAGGGCCGAAGCATCCAGGGTCAGCGGCACTGGCCGTAAGGCCTTAGCAATATGTTCCGTCAATGCGTGTTGCAATGTGATCAGTTATGTTATGTTATGGTGTGGTCTGTCGTCTTATGTTCTGTAATGCTTTGCCCTGACATGTGTTGTGACGTTATATATGATCCCGGGTGCTGGGCGGACAAGCCCCCCCCCCTCCCCGCCCAGTTGGGATGGGCCTCAGGGTTCCACAAGCCCCCAGGATGGGGGGAGGAGGAGGAGGAGGAGGAGGAGGAGGAGGAGGAGGAGGAGGAGGAGGAGGAGGAGGACGAGGACGAGGACGAGGACGAGGACGAGGACGAGGACGAGGACGAGGACGACGACTACGACGACTATGACGACCACGACGACTACGACGACTACGACGACTACGACGACGACAACGACAACGACGACTACGACGACGACAACGGCAACGACAACGGCGACGGCGACGACGACGACGACGAGGACGACGCCATCACCAGCGGCGGCGGCGACGACGTCGAGCACTGGAGCTGTCAGCATGACGCCAATCGCAACCACACGCCACACCCACACCACACCCACAGGGGGGAGGGGGGGGAGGAGGACAATGGCGCCACCCCGCACACACCCACAGCACCACACAACACCCTTACCACATCCATGGGGGGAGGGGGGGGGAACCCCGGGCGCCATCGGGGGGGGGGGGGGGGCCCGATGGCATACGCATGGGGGGGGAGGGGGGGGGGGGGGGTCCAGACCCTGGACCATATATGCTCTATTTCGTCATGGTGCTGCTATGCTGTGTTCTGCCATGTTTTGCTGTGTAATGTTGCGTTGTTTCGTGTTTGTCGAGGGCGCAAGGCGGGATTCGAGGGCGATGGGGGCAGGAGTCCAAAAAGATTCTCGGGGACTCTCGGAACAACTTCGGGTCAGGTGGCCGCGGCAGGCAGTGGCGTTTGTCGAGGGCGAGGGGGCGGGAGTCCCAGGGATTCTCGGGGATTCTCGGGGATTCTCGGGACAACTTGGGGTCTGGCGGTCGCGGTATGCAGGGTGGGGTTGGCCGGAGGAGGGGGCTGTCCTAGAAATCTAACAACCCCAACCTGTCGGGTGGGGAAAAACGAAGGAAATACGCCCCCGAAGCCACGATCCCTCGTAAAAAATGTTGGGACCGCGCTCCAGAGCCAACGATCCCCGTAAAAAACGTAGGATCCACGCTCCGGGGGCCACGATCCATTGTAAAACACGTCCCAAGAGCCCAAGCGCCTCTCAAGACAGCCCCAAGACGCCCCAAGACGGCCCAAGAGAGCTCCAAGAGGCCCTCCAGGAGAGCCCGAGGAGGCCAAAACCAGCGATTTCCCTTTGGTGTTTGAAAGATGTTCTTATTAGTACTATTATCCTCCTCCTCCCAGCGAGGAGGCCAAAACCAGAGTAGTCCTAATAAGAGGAGGCCAAAGCCAGCGATTTCCCTTTGGTGTTTGAGAGATGTTGAGGTTATGGCCTCTTCGGGCTGCCGACCGCCCAAGACATCCCAAGAGGCTTCCAGGAAACCTCCAAGATGCCTCCAAGACGGCCCAAGAGGCTCCCAAGAGGGTTCCGAGTCGGCCCAAGAGGACCCCAAGATCGCCCAAGGAGCTCCCAAGAGGGCCCCAAGACGGCCGTGAACCGCTCCAAGAGGGCGTCCGACGGGCCAACCGTCCCCTGAGACAGCCCAAAATGCCCCACGCGGCCCCTAAGAGGCCCCATGAGGCCCCCAAGAAACTCTCGGGAACGTCCCAAGAACCCCCGGGAGGCCTCAAGAACGCCACCACAAGCATTCTCCTCCTCCTCATTTCCCCCCTCACCTCATCCTCCTCCCCCCTACCGCGCAGACGAAGACGAGGTCGGGATCACGACCCGTCCCAATGCAAACTACTCGTCGGCACTGCGATGGTCCTACGCTCAGACTCCTCATGCAGCGCTTTCGCACAGGCGCCATGGCGAGGTTTGCCGCAGGCAGCTGGATAGGAGTGAAGACGTGATGCCCGAGGGAGCATGGAGATGAGAGTGGAACGTGCGCTCCTCGAAATCTTCACCTGTACGCTACACAGCGGCATTCTTCCTGGAGGTTGTAGGAGAAACAGACGCATCCACTACCGCAAATTGGGCATGACGTGCAAGATTCGGAGCGGCGACGCCGCGTCTCACAATTGCCCGATCCAACGCAATCATCATTGTCGCCAGAATCGTACCACCCTCTGCTACAAGCGCTGCACTCATCGGCGCGCCGGCGCCTCGTGGCCCCGCCAACACACTGGACACAGGCACCGCTGGACTGCCAATATCCGCTGGCGCACCCGAGGTCTGGCGACGCCGTCGGTGCCGCTGTCGGCGCAGCTGTCGGGCTCTCAGTCGGCGAAGCAGACGGGCTCGGGGTCGGCGACGGTGTAGGAGATGGCGTTGGTGCCACAGTCGGAGCATCCGTCGGCGACGCAGTCGGTGCCGCTGTCGGCGCAGCTGTCGGGCTCTCTGTCGGTGAAGCAGACGGGCTCGGGGTCGGCGACGGTGTAGGAGATGCAGACGGGCTCGGGGTCGGCGCCGCCGTGGGCGCCTCGGTAGCTGCCACGGCGAGCTGCGACTTGAGTACGTTCAGTATATCTGCCAAGACGCTGGCCACCAAATCAGAAATCTGTTCCTCCGTGCCAGAACTCAACAGCGACGTCACTGTACCTTCGACGACGTACGCTCTGGGATCTGACTTGCTGTGTGCCTTCTTGGAAGCTGCTCGCCTGTAGGTGCTAGATTCTGCACTCCCAGTCTGAAGCAAGGAAACTGTCTTCTTGCATCTGTCGTCCGCAGTCGCTGCAGCGGTGTGGTCGTCCTCCCCGAGAAGCCCACCCACCGGAAGGCCAGCGCGACGCAAGTTGCGAGCCAGCAGGTTCAAATAAGGGGTGCCCTTCTCAGTGCGCCCCTGCACCACCTTGAGTGCCACTTTACCGTACTTCCTCCACACGGCAGGGGGCGCCCTCCAGCGGGCATCATACTGGACCCCGACCTTGGACCCAGTCCATCGCCCTGTAATGTTCACATGCTGGATGTACATGTCTGCGCAAGATGCCCCTTGCCTTTCCACGAGGGCTCCTACATGCAACAGGACGACTCCGGGCCCCTCCCAAGCCCGCGTCGGGATCCGGATGAACTCATGACGGCCCGGCCTCATGATGTCGAAATGCTGTCCGTGCACGTTGACTAAGTGGGGGTCGCCAACCGCACCCACTTGCCAAAATGTTGGCGTCGTAATCGATGGCGGAGAAACGTTCGGGACGCCGCCATCGAAGGCCACGGCCACGCCCGCGCCAGAAGCAGCGGCCGTAAGTGCGCTGGCGAAAGCTGATGGATTCTCGCTCATGCCCTTCGCGGCTGCGTGCACAGCCGCGGCTGACGGACCGTCAGTGGACTGGTAGAAATCCGCCACCGCGCCTTCAGAACGAAGTGGAGTGCCCCAATGCTCGCGCAGTGATGAGAGATGGATGGACAGGTCGGACGGCTGGGAAAATTGTGTAAAAACCTCAAGGGCCCGGACCGGTCTGGACCACGAAATGCCTGGAATTCGTTGCTGGACGCACCCAGGGTGACTCGCGTGGGCCTCTGGGGCGGCCCCCTCGCCCACGAGGGCCCCAAAGCGGGCCAAGAAAGGCCCAGGAGGACGCCCAGACGGTCCAGGAGGGCCCAGGTCGCCGAAAGCTTGCTCCAAGATGCCCAAGATAGTCCTGGGGCCCTCTTGGCGTTAAGGCTCTGCTAGCAGAAAGATGGGCGCCTCTGCGGTCGTCTTGGGCGCTTCTGGGGCCGCGCTGGGGGGAGAGGGTTCATTAACTGGTCCCGAGCGCGCCCCCCCCTCCCCAGGACCCTTTCCGTTACCTGGGCTGGCACCGGAAACGGAAAGAGCAGCCCCTAAAACTCGACCGAGATGGCTCATGGGATCTTGAATTTGTCGGAGCGTCGGTGTGGAGTGTTGGTTACGTTGATGCTTGCCCTAGGGAACGCCATTGCTCAGAGATGTTACGTTAGCGTGTGGTTTGGCAGAGTCTCGGGGATCAGAGTTGTTGATGTCACCGATTTGTCTTCGGGATCCCCTAAAGGGGGGGGACCATGGTGCATCGAATTGTTACGGTGCATCGAATTTCAGAAAAAACGATGCCAATCCATGCGTCCCGATGTTCGACACCTCTCGGGGGCCGGCGGCGGCCGGGGGTCTCGTTTTGCATCGTTTCTCGGCGGCCCCCCCCTGTGCCACCCCCCTTTGCGAGGTCCCGATTTTTGTGGAAAGGGACCTTGGTGTTTAGAGCTGCTTGCGTTATCGCCTGCTCTTGAAGTGCGCCCCGTGAATCTGAGGAGACGAAGATCCATGAACGGACGACCCCGACGACGACAAACAAAAGCGCTGAGGACCCCGGAAGCCAGAGGTCGGAGGAAGGGGTCCTTGGTGAAAACAACATCTGCGCAAGACAGAGTAGAGGGGATGGAGGAGGGTAGATGCAAGCTTCAGGTCGCACCCCCCCGCATCCTCCTCATTCCGCCCCTCCTCCCTCTCCTCATCCTCCTCTTCCACCCCACGCGTTCCCAGAAGAGCTTCCGCATCGGCTGGGGGAAAGCATGGTCCAATCGCGTGGCAAAGTTTTGCCCAAACGTTCGGCCACATAGGCGTATCCCAAAAAGCAGGGGCTGTGGTGATTCGCCGTAGGCGTCTTTGATACTCTACCGTCCAGGGCGGAAGCATTGTGTTTGAGGAGAGCTGGACAAGAAAGCTCTCGCTCGTCATGCCGTCAGCCTTCACATCGTCATATCCTGCATCCGAAACACCGCTGGTGCACATCTGCGTCTCGGTGAGGGCACCGTGGACAAAGGAAAGAATGCCAGTGACGAGCACGACGGACGCGTGGCGAACGGACATCGTGGACTTGCTTGCGTACGCAGAGAGTGTGATCTAGTGCGCTCAGTGTGTCAGATACGCAGCCTTCAGCTGAAATTGCTCGAGCAGGAGGAAGGAAAGAAGAGGAAGGCAATCACAAGTTACACATCTCGCCTTCACTGGTTGAGGAGCGCTCATGGAATCTGGATGGGCCGTCTTGTGGCTGTCCTGGCCTCCTCTGAGGCAGTCTTGAGGAGTCCACTGCGGCCATATTGGGCCGTTGGGGGGCCCGCCGCATTGGGGCTCTCTTGGGCTATGGGGCCCTCTTGGCCGTACGGCAGGTACCTGGGGGCCGTCGTGGGGCCACTCCGGCGCCGTCATGGGCAACCGTTTCGTTTCTTACGAGGGATCGTGACTTCGGGAGTGCGGACCTGTTTTTCACAAGGGGTCGTGGCCTCTGGGGCAGGGGGGCATGCATGCGACAGGCCACGAGCCCGGGTGGGTCTGGATACGCGGGGGGGGAGGGGGCATATTTTGAAGCGCGCGAGAAGAAAATGATCGGCGCCCTCGCTTGGGACATCCCATGTACAGAAACTCCCGATCAAACGCAGAGTGGCTGGCCAGTACAGAAGGTCGATTTCGCCAGTCGGTGACGCGGCGGCCCCGGGGCCCCGAGCGCCTCTGCGTGGACGGACGTCCTAAGGCTTGTGGGTCCACACTGTGGAGGGTCCGCCCTGGAACGCGGGGAGAACCCCAAGACACGTACATTCGGATCCAAGCATGCACATCAGCCTCAGGAGTGGACTCCAAAGAGCATCAATAGAGCCGCCTACGAGTGGAACCAAGCAGTCCAAAGATGTCGCCCAGACACGCTGATCGTGGAGCGCGAAATGGCTTACATCCGGATCCTGAGATCCAGAATGCGGCCTGGATATGGCCAGGGAGCGTGACAAGCACGAGGTGGTTTACACTGCTCCAGAGAATCAGGCAGGGCCCGGGAATGAGGTCCCAGCGGCTCGGCTCGGAGCCCGGCGACTTGAGACACCGACAGTTCGAAATCGGCTCAAAATCGGTCCCCGAACCCCTCCTGGGGTCCAAACGGCTTCATTTTTCACGCTGCGTCCAGCCGTGGCGACGAGGGGTCCCCCCGAAGGCCAACTCCCAGTGTCTCAAACGGCCCTCCCCTGAGAGAATCAGGCAGGGCTCGGGAATGAGGTCCCGGCGGCTCGGCGGTCAAACAAGCCTCTGCGTTCTGGAGGAACGCCGGCAGCCTCCTCCTCCTCCTCCTCCTCCTCCTCCTCCTCCTCCTCCTCCTCCTCCTCCTCCTCCTCCTCCTCCTCCTCCTCCTCCTGTTCCTCCTCCTCCTCCTCCTCCTCGATCGGCGGCGCGGAAGGGCGGTGAGGGGGGGGGGGAACGGCGGGCAGGAGGAGGAGGAGGAGGACGACGACGACGACGACAAGCCTTTGCGTTCTGGAGGAACGCTGACAGCCGCCTCGCAGCAGCATGGCGCGGGGAGCGCTCCGAAGCCCCGCCACCCAAGATGCTCCAAGAGGCCTCGGCGAGAATGCCGAATCATTGATTTCACTCAGGTTTTAGCCACATGTTGGCCTCTTGGGGGGGAGCACTGATTAAGATGACTCCAAGAGCGCCTTGGAGGGCACAAGATGACCTCCAAGATGGCTCAAGATATCCCAAAATGTCCCATAATAGTTTCTTCTGCGCGCTGCCTACTTCCCGCAACGCAACGCCCGATCGGCCCAAAGGCCGGTCGTGATTCAGAACACGGGGATGAACGTGCACAGCGACATTCCTTAGGATTGCCACCGGAAAATTTGGAAAACATCGTGGCAGTAGCATCTGTTGTTCGTCTGGCCAGACTACGCCGGCGCAGCCACGCCTGGGGGAGAGAGGGAAAGGAGGCAGGGGAGGAAAAAGGGGAGGGGAAGAGGGGAAGGGGACGGCAGCGGCAGCATCGGCGATCAGTCAGTCCATCTCTGTCTCGGCCTTCCCCGCCGTCTATGCGGAGCGTGATGTAGGAGGTGATCACGAACTTGCGCCGGAGCCCAGCTGGCGGCCAGCTGCGCTACTAGCGGCGCCGTTCCGGTTTCGACAATGCGAAGCAGCCTGTCTCTGGCGAACTCCCTTACCCGGCTCCACTCCAGCTCGGGGTGCCGCTGGAGCGCGGCTCTAATATTGCTTTCATGCGATGTCCTGTGGTCTCCCAATCTTGTTCGTCAAAACGAACCCATCCAACGATTTTCCGCAGCATCATTCTTTGAACGACATCCAGATTGCCAATATGTTCCGAAGTCAGCGGTGTCGTCGACAAGCTGTAGCAGACAGCACGGGTAACGACGCTGTGAAAAAGCTTGAGGCGCAACAGAACAGGAACCTTCCGGTTCAGCAAGGTCAGTGCTAAATTGTGGAACTTCATCCAGCCGCAATCATTGAGACCCCCAGAGGAGGCCCCCTGGAGGGCCCCCAAGAGACCCCCAAAAGGCCCCAAGAGACCCCCCAGAGGCACCCAAGATGCTCCAAGAGGCCTCGGCGAGAATGCCGAATCATTGATTTCACTCAGGTTTTAGCCACATGTTGGCCTCTTGGGGGGGAGCACTGATTAAGATGACTCCAAGAGCGCCTTGGAGGTCCCAAGATGACCCCCAAGATGGCTCAAGATATCCCAAGATGTCTCAGAATGGTTTCCTCTGTGTGATGCCTACTTCCCTGATCCAGGCAATTCCTCTGGGCATCGTTTCTGGATGGGTTGGTGGGGATTCTTTTTTGGTCGCAGCCGCAAGCGAAAGTGCAGGCGGCGAGAGGGGGTCCGGGGCAAGGGCCAGCCGAATTAGCTACTGAGCGACACGCAAGCCGGCCGGGCCAGCACTCAGAAGCGGTGGCTGAGGTGCAGCTGCTACTGGTGGAATTGGATGGCTGGTCTGCAACGCCCAGGGAAGCTGATGCAGCTTGCAGACCTGAGGCAGAGGTGCCAGAGGTGGAAATAGGAACTGCACGCCAGAAGCGCCTGACCAGCACTGTGCACACGGTCAGGAGGGAGCACTGATTAAGATGATTCCAAGAGCGCCTTGGACGCCCAAGATGACCCCCAAGATGGCTCAAGATATCCCGAGATGTCTCAGAATGGTTTCCTCTGTGCGCTGCCCAGTTCCCTGATCCAGGCAATCCCACCAGCCCTCTGGGCGTCGGTGGTTTAGGGAGTTTCCTCTTCCACCCCTCCTTCCCCTTCGGGGAAGGGTTTATCACTGTTCCCGACTAGTAAACACCCCCTCCCCCAGGCGACTGGGGGACAACCCGAGTCCATGACAACACCCCCCCACCATCCCACCATCCCTGCCACACTTGGCGGCGGCGGCGGCTGCGGCGGCTGCGGCGGCGGCGGCTGCGGCGGCGGCGGCGGCAGCGGCGGCGGCGGCGGCGGCGGCGGCGGCGGCGGCGGCGGCGGCGCGGCGGCTGCGCGGCAGCGGTGGCGGCAGCGGCTGCGGCTGCGGCGGCGGTTTGGCAGCGGGGGGCGGCGGGCGACGGCGGCGGCGGCGGCGGCGGCGGCGGCGGCGGCGGCGGCGGCGGCGGCGGGGCGGCGGCGGCTGGCGGCAGGCGGCGGCGGCGGCGGCGGCGGCGCGCGGCGGCGGCGGCGGCGGCGGCGGCGGCGGCGGCGGCGGCGGCGGCGGCGGCGGCGGCGGCGGCGGCGGCGGCGGCGGCGGCGGCGGCGGCCCGGCCCCCAGTAGCTGCCCATCCAAAGACGAATGCTGAATATGCTGAGGCTCGGGCCGGACTCGGGTGCTACGTATGTGTTGGGAGGGCGGGTGGGAGTGAACGAGACGGCTTGCGGGCGGGGAAGGGGTCTTGACCCCTCCCCCTACCCCGTCCACATGGACCTGGAGGGGGGGTCGCGAATCGTCAGGGCGTCCAAGACGGCCTCGGCGAGGAAGCCAAAATCATTGATTTTACTAATTATGGTGTTGGTCCCATTTGGGCTTTTTGGGGGGGCCCTAATTGAAGCTCCCCTCTTGTTTGATCGATCTCCTCCAAGATGGCCCCAAGAGGCGCCCCGGAGGCCCCAAGAGGCCCCAAGATGGCCCCAAGATGGCCCCAAGATGGCCCCAAGAGGCCCCCTGGAGGCCCCCAAGAGACCCCCAAGAGGCCCCAAGAGACCCCCCAGAGGCACCCAAGATGTTCCAAGAGGCCTCGGCGAGAATGCCAAAACGGCCTCGGCGAGGAAGCCAAAATCACTGGTTTTACTATGGTGTTGGCCCCATTTGGGCCTCTTGGGGGGGGAGCGCTAATTAATGCCCCCCTCTTGTTTGATCGATCTCTTCCAAGATGGCCCCAAGAAGCGCCCAGGAGGCCCCCTGAGGTCCCAAGATGGCCCCAAGATGGCCCCAAGAGGCCCCCAGAGGAGGCCCCCACGGAACCCCCAAGAGGCCCCAAGAGACCCCCCAGAGGCACCCAAGATGCTCCAAGAGGCCTCGGCGAGAATGCCGAATCATTGATTTCACCAAGGTGTAAGCCACATGTTGGCCTGTTGGGGGGGAGCACTGATTATGATGACTCTAAGAGCGCCTTGGAGGTCCCAAGATGACCTCCAAGATGGCTCAAGATACCCCCAAGATGTCTCATAATGGTTTCCTCTGTGTGCTGCCTACTTCCCTGATCCAGGCAATTCCTCTGGGCATCGTTTCTGGATGGGTTGGTGGGGATTTTTTTTGGTCGCAGCCGCGAGCGAAAGTGCAGGCGGCGAGAGGGGGTCCGGGGCAAGGGCCAGCCGAATTAGCTACTGAGCGACACGCAAGCCGGCCGGGCCAGCACTCAGAAGCGGCGGCTGAGGTGCAGCTGCTACTGGTGGAACTGGATGGCTGGTCTGCAACGCCCAGGGAAGCTGATGCAGCTTGCAGACCTGAGGCAGAGGTGCCAGAGGTGGAAATAGGAACTGCACGCCAGAAACGCCTGACCAGCACTGTGCACACGGCCATGCCTCGAGCTGGCGAGGGCGCTGCCACTGCAGGTGAACAAGAAAGCGGTGCGCAACCAGGAACGGAGCTGGGCGAACGCGATTGAGCACGCTGGTGGGGATTCGCGAAGCGTCAACAATTCCTCTGGGCGTCGTTTCTGGAA